AGTCGTTTCGGTAAAGTCAAGTAGATAGAAAAATAATAAAAAGAAAGTGAATAAAAACATTATATTTTTAAAAATAAATAATAAACACTAAAGTATACATTTATCGAGCTAATCAATGCATATGATAATATAAAGAGGCCAAGCCTTTGGGTTATTCTTCAAACGTTTAGTGTCAGGAAATTCCAAAACATGAAATTGGGCCTTCATGATGCTGGGCATGCCAGGGTAAAGCTGTGTAGTAGTAATGCATTGGAGACTCTATTGCCTTTTATTTATTTATTTTACTTTGATGTATTTAGTACAATGCTCTGCTGTATTTATAAAACCCCGAAATATCCGAAATGTTCAACAAAACATCCGAATATGAGAAGATCACAAAATTGAGTATGAACTAATCTCCAGTATGCAGTGAACCAAAGAGCATTGTCTCACAAACCAAAGTGACGAAGTGATTTCTTACATCGTGGCATCTCATAGGCACAGTCGCAACAAACACTTGGTTGAGATTCATCTGGGATGGAAATGGGCAAGAGCTTGGCAATTAACATGCCAGGTCAAAGGCGTATATCAGGCTGAGTAAAACACCCATTAAATTCATTAAGATTGAGGGTCTGGATATCTGGAAACAACCTCGATTTTGAAGAAAGCAACGGGTCATATAAACCATCCATTTCGTGGTGCATTACCCTTCTATTTAGGTATGTATGGGTGTACATTTAACTTTCGCACCGTGCTTAGCCAACCGTGCCAATCGGAGGTGCGGGGCGAAAACATGTTACTTAGGTAACCGGGTGGGGAGGAAAATAATTAGAATAGAAATCAGAGAACACAAAATAAATGTGATTGAAAATGTGGGACATGGCCAGGTGACTCAGGGGTCAGTGTGCTGAGCTGGCACCGCTGGGGTTTGAAAAAAGGCAGCGGGCCATGATTAAACGTGATTCTCCAGCGTATTTGATGGTCTCAGCCTGGTCACCAACGACAACACGAAAATAAAGTTACCGCGGGGCTTTCATGAGCTGCACGCTTTAATGTGTTTTCTTTAGAACTTCTAAATTTCACAGAAATTGCTTCCAAGAATGTTTCATCCCTAAAATTCAGATACTGATATAAAATAACAAAAAAAAATGCTTTACTATATTTTTTTACCAGTATAACGATCAGGTCACATATGCAAGATCTTTCCTCACTGTCCTGTAATGTCATGACTATTGTAAAACCTTAACACTTGACAGGAAATATATTGACCTCACAAAGCACAGCTGTGTTGGACCATAGTTCATAAGAATGCATTCGTTAAAGTTAGGCCATTCTTGTTAGGAGTGTAAGATCAGAGTACAATTAATGCACGAGTTGCTTCCATCATAATTGCATGTACGTAATTAATCAGTGTGGGGGCTGTGGGGCTTATGTCAAAAGAGCGTGGTGGGCGTTTTTGCTCTCAGTAGTAATGAGTTTTTTCATTCCCATAGGGGTGTGCTAACTTTGTTACACACAAGCCAATTTGTCAGAGAACGTTGCTAGGCTGTGGCCCAGATACTATCCCTCGGGAAACTAGACAACAATTGGTTAAGACAGACAGACTCTGGTCTTTGACCTCCAGTGCAATATTGATGGTTCTCTGAGGATTTTCAAGACACTGCATCAATATAGCAATCAGTGTAATCAGCCCTGCCTGGCTCAGCCTTCAATTTCTATACAGTAGTCCCTCGATTAACGTTTTAATACATTCCACAAAAATTATTGTTAACCGAAATAACTATTAATCGTATTTAGGAATTACATGTTGAAGGAAAGCAGAATTAAAACAAAAAACACGATGTAAACAAAGCCAGTCGAGGTCGAAACGCTCATAAATTGGCGTCGATGATTGGCTGAGGGCATGTCTCAGCCCAACTTACGAGTGCTTGGATTGGCTGAAATTGGTGCCCGCGTGCATAACGTAAACGCACCACTCATCAATATTTTAACGTTAATCGAAACCACGGGGTCCTATGGGAGGCGAAACGTTAACCGAAAACCCGTTAACCGATGTCTCTGTTAAAATAGGGACTACTGTAATACATGTCCCTTTTAATCTCAGAATCTACAGACACAATATGTTAATTTCAGGAGTGTTTGTGATGATTCAAATGGTATTACAATTACAAACGTTTATTTCATAGTGTCATCTTTCCTAGTGTAGCACTGAAGTAAAATGCCTCTTCAACGAGTAAATGTGGGGTGCTATGGAAGGATCATTTTCGTATTTTTCCATGAAAATTATCTATTTGATCTGTGTGGAAAAGTGTAAACACAAGATACTGTAATAGCAAATTTGCACATGTACAGGTTATGATTACGCAAAGGATCAGATGATATAAATAATTCGGTAATAAATACATTATGGGCGAAACAAAAGTCCTGGACAACTTTGCTAAAACAAAATAATGGTAGGAGCGATACAACTAGATATAAAAAAAATAGATGTAAACCTAGGACAATCACTGAAGGCAGATTGAGATGAAAATAATTAAATAAAGATGCAGAATGCCATACTTTTGATCAAATAAATGAGATAATGAAAATCAATAAATCAACGCACCTCAAGAAGTTTGCAATGCAGTAATTGCATGTGTTCTGCTTTGACATATACTCTACAACCTGAAAAGTATGCAAAGAAGCACAGATGCATCCTCGGATTTAAATGAGACGGAAAGAGGGACACGTTAAATTTCGATTTAAAGCTTTCGTGACTGCAGGGATTCATCTTCTTGGTTCTTTCGGTAAAGTCACGTAGAAGAGAAATAATAAAATAATAAAAATAAAACATAAGGGGATTGGGGGTTTATTATGTTTTATTTTTATTATTTTGCTATTTCTCTTCTACATGGCTTTACCGAAAGAACCAAGAAGAGGGACACGTTGATAAGGTGAATGCAAGTGAGCGGCATCGTATTTCCGATGAAGGAAAACAAATGGGCTTGGGAAGGACATCGCATGGCTGGAGGAGTGATGGCAGATGGACAAAACTGGTGACAGAATGGCAGCCAAATGAGAAGATACAGGCGAGGATGTACACCGCGGATATGGAGCGCATGTGCTGGATCTGGATTATTACATCGCAAAACCCAGAGGGATTCTGACAGCATGGAAGTGACCCTTATTCAGCAGTGGATAGATCATGGGTGATGACCACTCTCCAGTACTGCGTATCAGTTTCACTAATATGTGGTGAGAGGAGGAATGGCGTTAGGTGATGGTTGTAGGAGTTGTTGGATGGGCTGATGGGTGGGAGGGTGGAGGAAGTGGGATGTGATGGGTGGTGAGGAAGCAATGGTGAGTAGTGAAGAGGATGTGTTTGAGGGTGATGGAAGGAGTGGGTGATGACGAGGCTGTCATGGGAGCCACGATGGCGAGATGTTAACTACCTCGCTTGGTCGTGGGTTTGATCCCGACCCTGGCGCCTGTAAATTTGGAGTTTGCATGTTCTCCCCGTTTGTCGCGTGGCTTTGTTTTCTCTCCGGGTTCACATTTAGAAACACGCGTTAGGAGTTTTTGACTGGTATACATCCTCACGCTACGATAAGCCACTTGATTGAGCTACCATCTGTGGCCAGGTTGCTACATAGAAAAAAATAGCTATGCAGTATAGCTCAATGGGGCCTTACCTGATAAAATAAAAAACAGTAATAGTAAAACAAAAGCAGTAATAATAGTAACAAATCGTAAAAAATTAACCCGTAAAAACAAAGTTTTTCACTATAAATCCTTTATTTGCGTGGCGGCTAGAGTCCTCTCGTCCTCTGGCTTGAGATGGCTGCCACCTATGGGTCAGATGATTGCCTGGCAGCATTAAGCAATTAGTAATTAAATATTTTTTTTTTCCTAAAAAGTGTAAAATTTTGCAACAAAAAATTTCACGGAAATTAATTGTCACGCACAACGAGTCTGTGTGGAAAATGTCAGCTCGATTGTATCACGGGAAGTGGGTTAAAAAACGACCGAAAGATTTGCACGGTCGTAAGCGCGCAAGCAAACTTAATATAAAGGATTTAAATAAAAAAATTACCCGTAAAAACTAAGTTTTTCACTTTAAATCCTTTATATGCGTGGCATCGGGGCGGCTAGAGTCCTCTCGTCCTCTGGCTTGAGATGGCTGCCACCTATGGGTCAGATCATTGGCTGGCAGCATTAAACAATTGGTAATTAAATATTAAAAAAAAATTCCCTAAAAAGTGTAAAATTTTGGAATTTTTTTCACGAAAATGCATTGTCACGCACAACGAGTCTGTGTGCAAAATGTCAGCTCGATTGGATCACGGGAAGTGGGTTAAAAAACGTCAGAAAGATTTGCACGGTCCTAAGCAAGCAAGCAAGTGAACTTAATATAAAGGATTTTAAAAACGACCGAAAGATTTGCACGGTCGTAAGCGCGCAAGCAAGCGAACTTAATATAAAGGATATACAAAGTGGTTAATGCCAAATAAGCGAAACCGAGCAGCTAGAGCCACGAGGGGGCGCCAATCGGGAGGCGAGAGAAGGGGATTGGGGGTAGTAACTTGTACTGGTAGGAACCTCCTGGTTACACCAGCCCACAGGGGATTATTATTGTGTCCGTCCGTCGTGCAGGAAGGGGCTGGGTGGGGAGGGTGGGGAGGGGCTGGGTGGGGAGGGGCTGGGTGGGGAGGGTATGGAGGGTGGGGCTGGGTGGGGGTGGGGCTGGGTAGGGAGGGGCTGGTCACCCCGTGGTGCCCTTATAAAACTCAACGTTTCACCTACTCACGCCGGCTTGTGCCCGCCCTCACAGTCGGCCACATTTGCGGAATACACCACGCCGCCGTTAACCCTGGCCATTGACCGAGCAACCCGACGTTCCTACCAGCTCCCTCCGCAGGAGGAATGTGTTCTTCGATATTGGATGGTGCTCCCCGCCCCCCACCCCGCGTCACAAAACGCACGTGTCGAGTACAATAAACGAAACGCGTTTTGGCAGCAGCCGAGCAGCAGCCTCGGCACCCGTAGGTCACAGGCGGTGTAGAGGGGGTGGGGTCACGACGCGACCTTGCGTGAGGCCTGGTCCGATACAGCTTTTAAAGAAACAAGAGAAAAGAAACAGCGGCATAATCATACGAATTGTTACGATTGCAGTTGTTACAATTACAGCTTCGACGATGTGGAAATCCGTGGTGTCGCTGGGACGCGGTCTCCTGCTGCAGTCGCTGAAATCGCCGGCGATCAATGAGGTAAAACGACTTCGCCCGTGGAGCGGGCCCACACACTATTACAGCCACTGCAGTCTGCAGTGCACATTGCAAGTAAAACTAATACATCTTCTTGGTTCTTTCGGTAAAGTCACGTAGAATGGAAATAATAAAATAATAAAATTAAAACATAAATTAAAATATGTTTTATTTGCATTATTTTATTATTATTGTATTATTATTTTATATTTACCTTCTACGTGACTTTACCGAAAGAACCAAGAAGATGAATCCCTGCAGTCACGAAAGCTTTAAATCGAAAATTAAACTAATACATTCGCATTCCTTTTGCGAATTCCACTGCTGGATGAAGGCCTCTCCCGCGTCGTGACGGTCACACACATTCTAAGATTTGAAGCTTTCCTGACTGCAAGGATTCATATTCTTAGGTTTTTTCGGTAAAGTCACGTAGGTAAAAAATTTAAATTAATAAAAGTAAAATAAAAATCACGACGTTTCGGAGGCAACACAAGCTTCCGTCTTAAGGTGGAACCGTCACAGCACGATTGCTGTATCAAGTGATGTATCAAGTGATACATCTATCGTGCTGTGACGGTTCCACCTGAAGACGGAAGCTTGTGTTGCCTCCGAAACGTCGTGATTTTTATTTTATTTTTTATTAATTTAATTTTTTTACCTAGGTCACACACATGTCAACCCATATGGTTTACCCCGTATTCTTGTACAGGGAAATTGAGTTTACATGTCCATACAGCGTTAAAGCCGTTTCAATACGGGCACACACAAATGCCTATTTGTGTTTCTCCTTTGTGATGGGACTTTGTAGGATGAAAGTTGAGATTTAAAGGGGCAACTTGTATTTAAGAGCTTGTCTCTTGGAATTTTGCTTCACTTGATACAGTAAATTTAGCTGTGACGGTCCCACTTGATGACGGAGACTTGTTTTGCCTCCGAAACGTCGTGATTTATTATTTTATTTCTATTATTAGTTCTATTATTTGTATTATTTATTTTTACCTACGTGACTTTACCGAAAAAACCTAAGAGTATAGGGCACGGGGTGAACAATAATATCAGAATTGGTCCGCTATAAGGTAGGACACTGATAATTTGGTTGACAGGTATGCGGTCATCGTGGGGGACGTTTGACCATACTTTGCCGCAGTGGTCAGTGTGAGCTGGTGGTTGTTCTCACCGAGCCGTGATTATCTTCAAATATATTGACTTATATAAGAGTGGTCTACCAGCCCACTCGGTAATGTGCAGTACTGTCATCATCAACCTTGATCTGTCCACTGCAGGATGAAGTCCAACCCAAGCAGTCATCGATGCAGTTAATACAGTAGTCCTTCCATGTAACAGTCCATCAAGCACCTGTACAAAAGCTAATGTCATCACTCCATCTCCACGGTAGACGTACTCGACCGTGTTCTCCTTTGGTTCCGTCTTCAGTCTCGTGAGATGTATTTAGAGTACAGCTAATACACTCTAGACGCGTAATCTCACGATACAAGCGTCAAATCGGGCGAGAATTTTCTAATCGCATTACACTGTTCGCTTTAAGATAAACAATTAAATGTACGAGACACAACCAGAATCTTGATTTGAAGCTTTGGTGACTGCAGGAATCCGCACTCTTTGTTTCTTTCGGTAAAGTCACGTAGGTATAAAATAAAAGAAATCGCGACGTTTCGGGCGCAACACAAGCGTCCGTCATCAGGTGGGAAAGCAACCAGAAGGTTCGAACCGGAGAGTGCAAACGAGCAGATCAAACAGTTACGTACACACCGAACATACAGTAGATGTGCAACAGATCTACAGACAATAGACGGTAAATACAAGACAGAGACGATGGTACAAACGAGACAAAAATGATCGATTATATGATCGAAACGTGAGCCCGTTAAGCTATTGTGGATCGTTAAATGAACCTTATGGCGGGACCCCGGGATCCCATTAGCCCCCGGCTCTTGTATAAACATTATAATTATTATAATGTAAAAAAAACTTTGCTCTCTTTCACCAATGGGTTTGAAGGATGGTGGCAAGTGTTGTCTTGTTAAACTATGCCTTTAAAACTGAAAACTACTTACCTGCAGTACCTCTATTTAAATACACTATCGAGAATATAATGTACACCCCTCTGTCAATCATCGTGTTTCTCAGTGTAGATTTGTGAACACACTTTGTAAACAGTATAAAAATAGTACGCGTTTTCAATGCGCTGTTTATAATGTAACAAGCGTTTATACCGTTGTTACTCTACAGAGTAGTGGGTCGCTGTCCCTCTTAAATGCATCGATACGAGCGATATGTGGGGACTATGGCTTAGCCGCGAAAAAAACGTATCTGCACATATGCATACTCTATTGCCCCATCTTACATCGATTAGTTTGACAGTACTAACGCTAAAGCACTCGGCCACGCGTGATCATTACTGATGTTGAGAGTACTCTACTACCCTTCGTTTTACTTGCAGACGGTGCTGTCAAAGCCAGGAGTGATGTTGGAACAGAGGAGAAGTCACTACGTGGACTGGAAGATGCTGAGGGACGTCAAGAGGAGGAAGATGGCAGCAGAATACGCAGACGAGAGGCTACGCATCAATGCCCTCCGCAAGAATACCATCTTGCCCAAAGAGTTGCAGGTGCAGCCCCAAAGCTCCGTGGTGCATCGCTCACAGAATTTTGTTGTGCGAGCCTACTTATAAATTACCCAGTTATGGATATTCAGTTGCAAGTAATCTTAACCCTTAATACTTCCAAGTGGTGCGATTAAAATGTGACGGTAGCCCATTAAAACTTTGCGTTTATCTTCAAGGGAGATGTCGGTTTAAGTACAGCAATACTCTTATATAAGCGCACACCTTTATCTGTGATAAACGCTGAACTTTCTGTCATTTTCATGCAGGGGGCGCTGCAAACCTACGCGCCCCCTGCATGAACGATGGAGGCGCAGGGACAGACGTTCGATTACTTTGGAATCGATCTGCAGACGGCGGTCTTCTCGCACGGCCAGCAGCTCCATGTCGCCTTATCTCGATCCCACAATCCCAAATAGGTGAAAGTCCACATCGAACCAAACCCCCAGCAAGGCAATCTGCTTAACGACGAGAAAATTCATGCCAAATGTCGTTTTCAATTAAATCTTCCAGATGTAAAATTATATAAGCTTTTAATAAAGAAATAAAATTATCCAATTAAAAACAATACAATTAAAAGACGTTTCATTTTAAAACTTCAAAACGGAGCATCGAGTGCTTGGGTCGTTTGTGTGCATATTATATTTGTGAAAGCAATACTTCAATTATACATCATACTTATATTAACATAGCATTTGTATTTAAAGCTTTCGTGACTGCAGGGATTTATCTTCTTGGTTCTTTCGGTAAAGTCGCAGTAGAAGGGAAATAATAAAAAATAAAATATAATAAAATAAAAATTCTCACGATGTTTCGGCCACAACACAAGCAGCCGCCCTCAGGTGAAGAAACAGAGCTGTCGGAAAGACAGCGTCCCAATGGACGCTGTTTCTTCACCCGAGGACGGCTGCTTGTGTTGTGGCCGAAACGTCGTGAGAATTTATAGTTATATTTTTATTATTGTATTATTTCCCTTCTACGTAACTTTACCAAAAGAACCAAGAAGATAACATTTGTAATGTACTTTACCAGTATTTTGACCTTTTCAACGTGCAATGTGTCATTGCCTCCTTTTGTTTCACCTCTTGAATGCGTAGGAAGAAGCCAACAAAGAAATAGCAGCGTTGCCACGTGACAGCTGCCCTGTGCGCATCCATAACCGCTGTGTGATGACATCGCGGCCACGGGGAGTGAAGCGAAGGTGGCGTTTGAGTCGCATCGTATTCCGAGACCTCGCGGATCACGGCCAAATGGCAGGCATCCAGCGAGCCATTTGGTGACCAGCAGAGGATATAACGGATGTAATCATTACTATGGGTTTTTGCAGTCTTGCAATTTGAGGTTTGTCAAACTTTTGTTTGTACATTGTGCACCTTTTCAATAAGGCATCACCCAATCTCTAGAACCTTTGGACACTACGGGGGAATGTTAACTTGACTTAAGATATGCTTGGTTCTTTCGGTAAAGTCACGTATTATAATTTAAAAAAAAATGTAATTTCCCTTCTACGTGACTTTACCGAAAGAACCAAGAATATGAATCCCTGCAGTCACGAAAGCTTTAAATCAAAATTTTACTTAAGATGCTCGTTAAAGAAATGACGTTTAAATGTTAAACAATCTTACATGCAATTGTCTGCATTGTTAAATTTTAATATCTCAGTGTCAGAATATCTTCATGTAAAATGATGCAATAGAAGACTGGAGATCATCCTTAGTTGACCGAGATATAAAAACAAATATTTCATTTGGAATGTAATGCCATCGTGAAAAAATGAGTGTGATGGTACAAATAAAAATGTATGATACATATACAAGACAATGCAAATGAGGGTTTTTGTAAACTTTATTTTTAGATCACATTTTTGTGAATTTATGGGAAGGACATTCTTTGCTAAATAAATAAATAAAACATTACAGTATTTTGACTCTCCTACTGTATTTTACAGCCGTAGAAATGTAATACAATAAGAACTAAAAACACATTCAACAAAGCACCACATCATAAAGTTTCACTAATATGACAAGAAATGGTGTTTGGAATGTGTATAATCTGCTTGATAAGCAGCAATTTTATTGTCCAAATCTAGGACTGAAAAGTAGTTGGTATTCCAGAGATTGAGAACTTTAAAAAAATCTGATGTAAAGTGTTCAAATAGACAACAGCAACAATATGCATAACTTACACGATAGAATTAGCAAATTAGAAAAAAACAATGTCCAAATGTCCAACTTGGTTGGGTTTCTGCAAATGCTCCATTCCACATTCAAAGCATGAAAGTGCAATTGACCTTTCTGTAAAGGTGTTAAGAATTGTGAATCAGTAGTCGGGTAATTATAACATGGTATAAAGCAGAATTCCTGGCCACATACTAAATATGTTCTTATAAGACTACCACAATTAATCGAAAATTGTAACAAGACACTGGATTTCTAGCATCACCAAAGGGCAGTAATATTTGAGCTACAGTATTGAAAACTATCAAGGTCTTAGATTAAAATGCAGCAGAAACAGCTAATTATTCGAATTCATACCGAATTGGTAACTGAATAAACTGAATTGCGTATTTCTGAGCGGTATGAGCTTTTGCAGGCCCAAGGAACTAAATAATTTTCACTAGTGCAGGATATCAATGCTTATAATTTATCATAATTCAAAATTAACTTGATTGCTACTCACTACTTTAGCTTGAGAATGGAATGAACATCCCATATTCATTTCTAACAAGCTTATAAATCAGTGTTTGTGTCATGTAAACAGCCCTTTTGACAGTAATGCACTTCAATTTCAAATTAACAAGGCCATGTTAGGTTTGCAACATGAAAAAAAACATGCTAAACATTTCACAAAAAAGTTCACATTTTAAAGTATACCAACAATACATATATAACTATAATATAAATACACTTAACATTTAATTTGGCCTAAAGAAAACGTCAACAAACTCATGATTTTAAAAACGAATCATAAGCAACTTTACTGTATTGCTTTTTATCTACTTTTTTTTTATCTTGCTGTGGTTTAAATAGAGCTTTAAAAAATACTCCACCTTATTATCTAAAGCAATTTCCAATCACTATACATTTTATACCATCTTAATTGCACTTTGCAGCACAAATAAGACAATACCGCTGCCAGTTTGTAATTTCTTCTCATCATAATAAGGTCCCACTTAACCAGGATACAGATTATCTATATGCCACTTGTAATTTTTGTGAGCATATTTGCTTGTGTCCGACTGCTGTTGTTGCCTAGTGTAAATTGTCATGCCCAGCCCAGCGTCTGTTTGGCCAGATAGAGGGCGCCAAATGGGCGCAGCAGCACAAGCTGGAGGAGATGGGCAAGATGCGTTACAGCATGTGGAGGTGATTTTACTCGGACTTGCCGACGACTAGTACTTGCGGTGTCAAACTTTGCCTCTTTGGAGGAGGCTCGTGAAGGATGCTACTGAGCAGTTGGAGAGGCAGTCGCCCTCCAACAACGCAGGGCAGACGAACGATGTTCATGACGAGCGGAGAGCCGGGTGGTTAAAACAGCAGACTTAGTACGTCGGGGAGCACAGGTGGTATCTACAGTCATCTTAACTCAACACCTGGGTCTTCCCCATGACCTGCTAACGAGCCTTCCACACTTCATGTGGCCTCAAAGCGCACCTAGCCTGGCACCTGCACCGTCGTAATGCCATCACCACTTCGTGGCAAATGGCGGCTTCTGTTTTGTGAGAGCAGTGGTGCAGTGGTCTATGCACTGGCCCATGAACGGGGCAACCTGAGATTGATTCCCAGCCATAGCTAACAAACGTGTCAAGTACAGCAATATCTGAATGGTCCTACCCACTGCCACCTCTTCACCAACCCACACTGACCAGTGTAGTGAATTATAGTAAAAACACAACATACATGGCATGATGGAGAGGGCTTCTTCCCGTCTGGATAAGACTAAATTATTAACGCACGTACTGTACATAAATGTACTATAGCGTTAAATAGTACTCCCCAAATATTCTGTACTGCTAAATAGTACAGTCCATTTAGGACAGTTGAATTATTTTCCGATTACATCACACATTTAACCAAACTTGCAAACCCAAAAGTGTCAAAACATGCACTGTACTGTATTTGTATACAGTGCCTACATTTCTGTATACATGTGGTAAATCAGAACGGGTTATATAAAGCAAACACCAAACCGACTTCAGTATACCGTATAGTGCTATCATTGGGCAACCTCAATAATATACATTTTGCATACAGTACATCATTTATGCCGATGCATTGGGGTACTTTTTTAAGTCTAGAATATTAAAAACCAGTTCACAACCACCGTTATATATACTGGACATGTATGCAGGATATGTACATTTATTTACAGATACATGTGACAATACTGCCTTTGAATTTGAAGGAAATGTTCATTAGTAACAGAATAAAATATTTGTTATCGTAATCAGTTTTATTATTTATATTCGTACCAATTCTGGTCAATGTGAAATATTGTTTATATTGTAGTGCAGCATTCTTCAAAATACGAGAAACATAGCAGCATACTGTAGTTTTATAACGCCATCAAAAAGTACAATTGGATGGTTACGTGATCCAGGCTTTGTAACACAGTAATGAATACCCTTCTATCCATACAGCTAAATGACATGACTAACAAACAACTGCTGGTGGATGTTGCGCCTCAAACAAATGTCTGGGACTGCCAGTCTAAGAAACTCGTTCACATGTTTAATTGGCACATCTCAAAAAATAAGTATGAATACTAATTTACATGTGCGCCATGATACAGCATCGCCGGCTAGTGTAGAACGTGGTTTTATTTAAAAAAAATGTACAACAAACATATATTACAAACAGAACACATTGGAGACAAAATAATTTTAAAAATAACTATATCTTTCTAGAAATCACAAACATGGTTGCAATTTTCAGAAACATTTTGAATGGTAGGTCATATTTATGGATTCACATTGAAATCAAAAGGAAAATCATTCTTATTCCTAAATTAAATTTCTGAAATTCCCTGCCTGACAAATCCGTGACATGTCACACTGGCTCAGCAGGCTCCACAACAATGATTGTGCACCATTTAAATATAACGTCCTTCACTCACACAAAATACATATCGACACAAACAAAAACATGGCAATATATAAAACTCAAGGTCCATCAAGTGGTGTGTTCGCCTGAGCCTGGCTGTCCTGGCCACATATTGTGGAGTGGCGAGTGAAGCTGTCTCTCCACATGAATTTCTTGCCACAACACAGGCAGCTGAAGGGCCGATACCCAGTGTGGGTCTTCATGTGCCCACTTAGGTGGTGCTTCATCTTGAAGCTCTTACCGCAGATGCTGCAGGAGTATGGCCGCAGCCCCAGGTGCATGCTCATGTGGCGGTCGCGCTGGCTCCTGTGCGTAAAGCCCTTACCGCACTGGCACTGGTAGAGCTTGCAAGCCGATCCTGCTTGCTCGGGCCTTGCCTCCGCTTCGCCTCCGCCCTGCTGGTAGCTGTCGGCAGCCAGTGCACCTTCTGTCACCGTCGATTGGCTCTCTCCATGCGCTTTCATTCGGACCTCTGTGTCATATATGTGGGAACTGACACCGTAGTAGTCCTTCTGCAAGAGTAAGGCATATCACGTATACAATAGCACTTTGGAGCTAGAATGTGAATTTACGAATACATTTTGGATGTAAAATATCGGATGTAGATTTTATGAATATGTGCACTTTGCTCGTGAACTGTGTTTTGCCTACCAAGTGACCATGATATGAGGCCCTCTCGAGCTGTTCATCAAATTCTTCGTGGGAGCCCGGTGCCGGCTCTGTGAATGGATCCCCCACTTCAGAAGAGCGTAGAAGGTGTTCAACTACACCATCTTCAGAAAAGCAGTTCTCGTCATGGAGATTTGCATCATTAACATATGGGCTGCCCAATTTGTGTTCGATTTTTTCTGTCTTCACCTGAAATTATCCACAATGTTGCGTCAATGAAATGTATAAGATGTCAAAGATTCACAAGGTGGTGAGGAAATAAAAGTCTCCTAATGATGCAATGAAATATTAGAGTTACCTGCACCCACTGTCGCTGTGGAATAATACTGGTTGGGATGTGTGGAGGCCTTCCTTGCACTTCACCGAAATCTGTACGGACCTCCTCCAGCTCCTCCTGGAATGGATACTCAGTGCTCTCTTGTCCCACAGAGGAGTTGCTGGAAATATTTTCTGCCTCATTGTTCAGAGACATTTCACACTCCTTACTCTCATTCTCCTCATTGGCATAGTTCGTTTCTTGTTCCCCATTCCCCACTGTAAAGCCAAAGGGACATATAATGATGCATCTACAATAAGAGTAACTGTTATAACTTCTATATCTACTTTATGTCTTTAAAACATTTAAAAAAATACCACACAAATTGAATGTAGCCTACTTTACAACTTTAAACTATGCTTAAACATAGGCACTTAGAAGTTATACAGACACCTTTCACACTTCCTCATGCCAAATTAATATTTACACAAGACTACACTGGTCGACACCAGGGTTGCATATTTTATTACATTGTTCACGAGTCATGTTCAAACACAAATGTGCAGGTCTAACGGTAATACGACACCTCAGAAACATACAAAAATAGCGAAATAAAATGTTACCTTATGACTCAGAAGACAAGTCAACATGTTATTGCATCCCATCTGTGGTGTTGCAACAAGGTGTGAATGTAAAGAGTGGCCAGACTTCAATGGGTGAACTGAGCAAACCAAGAAAGTATGCCGAGTGGAGGTGGCCATGTGGTTCAGAGGTCAGCACTGAGCCACCACTACCAAGATCCTGGGATCGAAACAAAACAGCTGTCTGTAATTAAAACCAGGTTATCAAGTGTAGAGAGTTCATGGTCTCAGCCCCACCACCAATGACTACAAAAAAACCCACATTCCCAGTGTCACAGTAGACAGGGAAGTGCTACCCCTATTATGTAGAACAGACATCACTTAAAAGGATCTTAGAGATGTAACTGTGGTATCCACTTAAGTGGGTCGTTCTTTACATGAAGGGTTGCACTGCTCTGTGACATTCCAATGGATACTTCGTATCATGATGCGATGCCAACAGCACAATTGTGACGGGGAAAATATTCAAGGACAGTATCGTTGAGTGTAAACTGTAATTGCTTACCGGCTGCAGAATGCACTTCTG